ATATTTTTTCTCCACAGTAAGCTATTATCTTGGTATTGATTGTGTTCCGGAACAAGGATATTCGTATCTAATTCATGAACTCTCGATGTAAGTAAAAATGGGAGGGAGATAAACCCTTGTCTACTCGGTAGGTTTAATGAATTGTTATAGCTGTCGTAGATTTTTTCAGATAAAAAAGAAAACTCCCATTTAAAATATAAATGTACAGGACTTAAAAATAAAGTTATAGTATATTTGACACAAAGAAAAGGCTGATTTATAAAATAGCAGTAAACCTATTTTTAATTTTTAAGCTGTTTGTTTGTGGTTAAGCACAGAGCTACAAAATGGGTTATCTGTGATGTGCCCACCACGGGTATCGGAACCATGCATTTTGTGTTGTAAATTATACATAGCATTGGTTGCTGTATGGATGTATCTCCTGGTACAGTTTTAAAGTTCGAAGTTCATATATGTCTTTAGCAAGCTTTAGTAAAACTAATTTTAATTGAAAAAAGCGTTTATTGCACATATAGGAACTCAACTATTATAAGCACGTAATTATCAATTTCAAGATTTCTACTATTTTTCAAGCTCTGGTTAACCCTAATGGTTATTGACAACTTAATCTACATCATAAACTATAGATTATGATTAAAGCTACTAAAAAAATCATTTAGGATAATAAGTAAATATACTACAAAAAGAAATTGACATTTCTATCAATTTCGAAAAGCCTAATTTGATCAGGTGTTATCAATAATTTCAAAAGTGCTTGGGTTATCTAAATCATTTCAAAAGTGCTTGGGTTATCAAGTTTCTTGTTCCTTTTTTTAGTTAAATAATGGTTATTTTATCGCATCTCACAGGTTGTATTACTTTTAATTATGTTTATCTTAATTGTTAAATGTTTTTCTACATCCTCTTACTGTAAAAAAAATATTTGAATAACTCTATACGAACCTTATTTTTAGAAAACGTTCAACAATTCTGATATAAATACCATGTTTTTCAGTTACTTAAGGTAGGTAATAAACGTCATAGCAAATGGCTAATGATTAATAATAATCACGTCATAATTTTTCTCAAAAATTTTCGTTATATACTTGTGAATGATTGTAAAGGAATATATATTATAATTAAAATATATTAATTTTCTTAACAAAGCATCAGTTAGGATTTGTTAACCACGAAGGTTTTGTAAGTTATCAATATTTTTCGTGTACTTTCAGCATTCTAGTTAATATGTAGATACAGCATAGGAAAGTTGTCATTTATTATATCATATTAATTCACTTATTTCTTCATCACCTTCGATTTGCTATAATATGAGGAGCCTACACAATAGTGACTATGTTACCCACAAGTCTGAATTTTAGAAGCTAGAGGCAATAGGGCTATCATTGATTAATTATGTTACTATGGTTTACTTATTTCTATACCTCTCATTTGGTACAATCTGAGGAGTTTACACAAAGACTGTGTGTTAACAAGTCTGAATTTTAGAAGCTAGAGGCAACAGGGCTATCACTGATTAATTATGTTACTATGGTTTACTTATTTCTATACCTCTCATTTGGTACAATCTGAGGAGTTTACACAAAGACTGTGTGTTAACTACCCTATGACATTTTAAAAAAATGTTTCAATCATAGTTTATTAATTTCTTAATGATATGTCTTTGTTTATTTCTTTTATAATTGTAAACTTAAGGTTTTTATTCTCTTTCTATGAAACTATAGATCCATATGTGATCCGTTAGATGGTTTAAGCGTTATGCTACACAATGAGCTATCTACGATGTGCCCACAGCAGATATCGGACCTCGAATTGTAGCGTTATAAGTTCTCAACCTTATCGCTGAGCCACCTGGTGGCTGTTCTTTAGAGGCAGCATGCTAGTAGTTTTTTACTGTGTGTTATTGGGTAATACAATTATTTTGCTATATATTTAGGAAACTGGGATTTTTTACCAATATTTAACAAACGCTTTTAAGTTTACGGCATACAAGAGCCGGTCTTCAAGCAAAATATTAATACCTAAAATAAAACACGAAACAAACAGAGATCGCCATTACAGAGCTGTAAATAATAAAGCACGTATGAAACAATTTAGTGAAATTTACTTCAATTCAACGTTGACATATGGGAACTAGCTCAAACAACTCTTTTAGTACTTAGTATAATCAGTTAGTTTTACAAAACATATTAATTAAACAATATTTCAATTCAACGTTGACATACGGGAACTAGCTCAAACAACTCTTTTTTAGTACTTAGTATAATCAGTTAGTTTTACAAAACAGATTAATTAAACAATACTTCAATTCAACGTTGACATACGGGAACTAGCTCAAACAACTCTTTTAGTACTTAGTATAATCAGTTAGTTTTACAAAAAACAGATTAATTAAACAATACTTCAATTCAACGTTGACATACGGGAACTAGCTCAAACAACTCTTTTAGTACTTAGTATAATCAGTTAGTTTTACAAAACAGATTAATTAAATATATTCATCATATAGCTAGAATGTATATATTTTTACTTGCTAAGAAAATGAATGTTGGTTCTGGATACATTATGTATATATTTTTACTTGCTAAGATGGTGAATGTTGGTTCTGGATACTTTATGTATATATTTTTACTTGCTAAGATGGTGAATGTTGGTTCTGGATACATTATGTATATATTTTTACTTGCTAAGAAGGTGAATGTTGGTTCTGGATACATTATGTATATATTTTTACTTGCTAAGAAGGTGATGTTGGTTCTGGATACATTATGTATATATTTTTACTTGCTAAGAAGATGAATGTTGGTTCTGGATACGATTATGTATATATTTTACTTGTCTAAGAAGTAT